AGAACTGAACTGGACAGAACTGAACTGGACAGAACTGGACTGGACTGGACTGGACTGGACTGGGTCCTCTGGTCCAAATGAACCGATCATTGACTGCGAAAGGTTATGTTGAGGTCATTTTGCTGGACTTCATGTTCCTAAACAACAATGGAATTTTTATAGATGACAATGTCACCCGGCACTGTTTTCTGGTCACCGTTTTATAGATGACAATGTCACCGTTTTATAGATGTCACCGGGCCATTATTGCCCAATATTGGTTTGAAGAACATTCTGGACAATCCAAACGAAAGAGTTGGCGACCCAGATCGCCAGATATGAATCCCATCGAACCTTTATGGGACATAATCGAGAAGTCAGTTCGTGCAAAAAATCCTGCACTAGCAACACTTTCGCAATTACGGACAGCTGTAGAAGCAGCATGGCTCAATATTTTTGCAAGGTATTTCCAAGGACTTGAGTCTATACCACGTCGAGTTGCTGCACTTCGCCGGGTAAAAGGAGTTACGACATGATATTAGAAGGTATCCCATGTTTTTGTCACCTCAGTGTAAGTAGCTGATTTCTGAACTGTAAGCATGGCTTACATTACATATACGACACCACCTCCCTGGTAACAGTCTCTTCCGCTGATATGTAGGACAGGTAAACTAATTCAGTACTTTTGCTTCATACAGATTCACATTTTAGTCTGAAATTTTGTCTAAGAATTTTTTTGTGTTAATTCAATCATTATTTCAGTAAATGTTGAGTTTTTTTAAAAACGTCAGTGTTACGTAACACTAAACAAACACTTGAAACTTGAAAAATATTTACTATTAAAACTATATTTCTTCCATAATTTTTTTTCAAAATGTTTGATTCCAAATTAGCAGGTGGACAGAAACAATCAGAACATTTCTCGGGAGTGGGGGACTGCAAGTACAGTGTTTAGATCAATTTATATTTTCTTGTAAAGAGTTTTTCATTTATTCTGAATGTTTATTATTTGTTCACTTACAGGTAATATTTATAAAGTTAACAATCGATATACTGATAGACTCGTTAGCTTAGGAAATAAGTAAAATGTATTTATTTTTAATATGTACCATCGACTTCGAAGAGGGGGAACTGAAGCCTTCTTAGGTGCCACTAAAAATTCCTATTTAATTTTTTAACAAAACATTTTTTAATATTTTCAAAAGTAATTACTAGGCCCGTTGGGTCTTCAAAAATTATCATAAGTAGAAAATCTAGTTTTTATTTTCCTTGAATTCGTAAATTTTTTCTAAGTTGAAAACAATAAAAACATTTGGTAGAAAAGAAAAAAAGTATTGTCTTAACTTCCATAATTGTTACTCGTAGTTTCCAGGTAATACAAGTATATTTCAGGAGTCGCTAAATACGAATATAGTATTAAAAACTACTTTTGACACCCGACAGCTCTCATTATAAAAACGTTAGCTCCTAAGCACTACGGCCATCTCGTTCCCGAATGGTGCCAAGTCCCGGGTGCCCGCAGAGCCAGGCTGTACAATGGATTGGCCGGTGCTTCGCACTCCGTCTTTCGCAGAAAATAAAGGACAAAATTAGTACCCTTTAACTGTTTTAAAAGTATATTCAAAATTGACGACCCCCAAATTCAGTTTTTAAATTACAATGATGGAAAATAATAAACAAGTAGTTGTAGAAAATGTTCTTTATCTTTTCAAATGCAATACACTTCTTTTTCGTAATTTCGATAGTTTTCCGTAGTTTCTCCGAACGATACCAGGTGAATTCCAGAGAAGAACACGAACAAACAGGCCAAGGACCGAGCGCGATCAATCCTTCCTCTTCCTTGCCTTATCCTCTGCTCTTACACACTTACATGCACTATACTACTATACATGGCGGGAGATGTGTCGGGAGCTTCAAAAGGGTGGTGCCCCGGTGGGGGGAAATACCTGGTTAGGGGAAAACCCCGCTATCCGGGAGGTAGGTCGGCGCCGGGTCTCACCATCCAACTGGGGAAGATCACCGTCGCCTCCCGTTAAAAAATGCACTATGCTTACGGGACTACTGATCTTAACAGTTCACGCGCCAGGAATCACTAATAAATCGATGAAAGGTCGTTGGGTTGTTCTAGAAGTATATTTTTTAATTCAAATTTTGAATAAAAAATCTTGAAAAAATTTGAAACGGAAGAAATACGTTTTTAAATAAAAATATTTGTATTTAAAATAATAAAATGTTAAAAGAACATTTTCCATCGTGTGAGAGAGAAAATGAGATTAGGAAATTGGATGTTTCAAAATTTGGGGTCAGACTTATTGCTGTAAACAATTAACTTAATTTTGCTTGTCAGCAGATTTTACTGTCTTACCTGTGGCTCTATATCTTTATTTCCATGGTTCATTGGAAATGAAAAAAAAAATTGACTTAGTTCTTTAAACTGTGAATGTGTTGATATAATACCCAATTAGAAAGGGAAAAAATTCAAACTTATCATGGAAATCATGTTGTAGGTAAATATGATGAAATATTAATGTAATGTAAGGGAAATAACCTATGTGTCAACATAATTTTTGATTTTTTGGATAAGCACAGAGATTCATTATACAAAAAACTTTAAATGCAAACTATTCAGCTGAGAAAAATATCACACAATTATGTGTTAATCCATACAGAATTCTAAATATTAACTAAAAAATATACAATTAAAAGATGAAAATCTCAGAAACAAGAAAGCAAAGATTAGGAAAATGAGAAAAGAAACACTCAAATCGAAGTGCAATAAACAGCAGAAAACAAAAGATTAAGAGAAAGAAAATTAAAGTATGAAGAGCAGATTAAGCTTGAAAAACAAACATTTTTTGAATGTTACTATCATAATTTGAATATTAATAATAAGCCTTTTATTTTTTCTTTATGACCCTTGATAATGTTTTCCTTATTTATCTACATTTTGTTGAAAAAACAATAGTGTACGATCTCTGGTAGAAGTCAGTAACCTGTTAAATAGATATTTGCGTGTTATAAATGTGTTTGTTGTTTCCAGTTTTTGATAAAAAAAATTATAAATAATAATAAATACAAAAAACAAAAATATTAAAATGGTTAGATATTCAAAAACCCTATTGATATGCTACTTCAAAATTTCTTTTATATTTTCCTTCATTTTTAATACTCTAAGAACATTTATAACATTAATTTGTTGTATTTTAACCCTAGTATATTATTCCTGTCTGACAAGCTATGAACAAGATATTTGTAATATAAAGATGTTACATACTCAGCAGCACGAAGAGAAAACAAGGGACTGTAGATTCACGTAGGTGCAGTGGTGTAAAGATGCAGTAAAATCACAAGGGCCTCTTTAAGTCAAACAAAAGTTTTTCTGATTCTCTGATTTTATATCTCCATGCAGAACTGAAATAACTTAAAGCTGTTAATTTGAATTAGAATAAATTTTTACTTATTTTGAATGAAAAACATTGTCAGGACCCAATTAACTTGGGGCCTGGGGCCAGTTGCCTCCCCTTTCGAGCACCCCTGTATGTAACAGACTGGTAAGTTATTCTAAAGGGAAAGCAATTTTGCCTTTTTGTTAGCTTTGTAAATGATTGATTAGTTATATCAGAAGCACTGTTAAGAGAATTAAAAAAAAACAAAAAAAAATACCTTCTGAGGATTTTTGTAGTTGATATTATAACATAATGGAAATACTCCTCCATTGCTACTCATAATATCATCATTACAAATAAGAGGACTTTGAAAATGATAGTGCTTTACTCACATGCCATATACTGGAGTGAATACCATAGGGAAGCAAACACATGTCAACAGATGATCTTTTTGCCTTGGGGGTTATTGTCGTATTCTTAGCATGTTTGAAAGAAGAACATAAGAAAGAAAACCTATTGAATCACTTTACCTTTTAGGCAGCAATACACAAAAAGAACAAATCAGTATCATGCAAAATGATTAATTCATATCCTGATGCAGAGCACTAAACTACTCACCCCACCACCTTTTTTGTTAGTTATAGCCACATGAACAAAGAGAGTTGCATTTTCAAGAGGCTCTCCAGTGTTGGACAGCAAACGAATATGACGATAACCTAAAGGGAAGAGAGCTTTTTAAATAACTTCAATATTACTTATTTTGACATGTAATACAAAGGTGTAAAATTGCAATAAAATACCAATAGTTACTACTAATACTTCAACAGTTTTTGAACAATATCACACAAATTCTAATTGTAAGAATGATTTCTCATTTTGACAACCTTCTGAATATTTATCATTGCTAATGATGTTTTGAATTCTCATCTTAAAAATATCTTAGAAATATCTCTTGTACAAGGTTAAATAAAATACAAATAGATGTAAACCACTGAAAGTAGTGCAATGTGACAAGAAAGCAGACAAATAGCAACAATTATAATAGTGATACTTCTAAATAGTTATAAAGAATATTTATTGTTACAAACAGCAGTATTATTTTGATTTTAAACATATGTAAAAAAATGTATGGAAGGAGAGTATGTGATGTTCTAGTTTAACGTGTTAAAAGTATACTATCATTATACAGTCAAATCATAAATTTTCTGTCCTGCACAAATGTGCTTTAAGTTGTCCATTGATTAGAAAAATATGCATTAAAAGAATATGGTGGGTACCTATTCTTGATTTGCATGCTTGCATGCTTACATGCTTGCTGGCTTTTAGTTTCAATGCTAAAAGTCCTCTTTCATGTATTATGCTATATACAGTCCATGTTTGTTTAGTTAAAATTTGAGGTGTTTGGGTCCGCTGGGGGGAGGGGGACGACGGCGACTAATCATTGAATGATATAATATGATTTAAATGGTATAAATTTCAGATGTTAATTTTTAATCTCGTGAATGCAAAATGTGTTGACTTAACTGTAGTGTGTAGTTCCAGAAATATTTTTGGCAAGAGTAGGTTCTGCAAATAATTAGCGACAATAGTTAATACTTTGTTGTTTTTCTAATATTTGCAGCAGACTGGACAATCTGTGGAGCATTATACTTTTTTGGTTTGCATATGAATAGCTAGTTCTGCTGCTCCTGCTGTTCTGCTTAAAGCATCATTTAAATATGACGATTTGAGTTTTAACTTTCATTCTCCTGAGACACAACAATAATTATTTTGTGTCTGTCTAAACCGAAGACTGAAATTATTTTTGAAATAAGTATCTTACGTTATTTCGTAACAACCTATATCAACCTATATTTATAACCATGTACTAGCGTTGAACAAGGAGTAATCCTCATTTAACCAAGTCATCGTCAGTCGTAGTTAGTCATTGTCTTTTACCTCTTCGCCAGGGGCTTGGTGCAGTTAAATTCACGAGATTCTCAGACGGGCACTCATAGAGGATCTCGCGATGTCTCGAATTACTTAACATCCGCGATTTCACGGAGCATAGTTCGACTAGCGACGCCGGCTATATGAGAAATTGTAGCTAACAAACTTGTATATATAGATATTTTATTTGCTTCCTGCTAAAAAAAAGTAAATTTCGCGTAATTTGTGCCTGAAATTTATGATATTTGTAAAAACATCTCAAAAAAACGCTCCAGTTTTTTCTTTAAATTTTTTCCTCGTAAGTATCATGGGACAGTATACAATATGGTACTAAAGTCATATTCGGCAAACTTCCCGTATTCCGAAAATTGCAAAAAGTTGACATTTCAAAACCACAAAATTGAAAATGGTGGTTTTTTGCCTTAACGTCTGTTCTAAAATATTAGCTCTTTTAAAAATGTTCATGAACAATGTTTTGAACAAAGAGTTGATTTCGCATAATTTGAGTCTGAAAATTATACAATTTGTAAAAGAATTATTTTCTCAAAAACTACAACTTTTTTCATTACATTTTCTCCTCGTATGTAACAACGTACCGTATAAAAATTGGAACTAGTCCCATTTTCAACGAACTCGCCGTACTTTCGAAGATCGAAAAAAATTAGTGTTTGAAAAAAGTTGGGTTGCGACGATTACATTTTGAAGCGTCAGTTCGAGTTCGACCACACGGTGCTTCTGTAGCATAGTGGTATGGGTGACGGCGAGTTAACTCTGTGGACCTGAGTTCCGGAAGAAAATTTTGCTGGTTACAAACATTTTGCATGTTTATATAGTAATATATTATAACGTGTCGGTTAGAAATAATATGAGAAAGTATGTGCTGTAGTTTCAGTAAACGCCATTTACAAATAACACTGTATTTAACAGAAAATAAATAAAATGAACCAGAAGGAGAATTAAATTATAACTTGAGTTATACAATTAATACTTACAATTGATTTTATGCTCTACCATTTACAGAGATACGTTGGGGAGATACATCACGAATGCAGTATAACTAACTATTCCCCACATTATTAAGTTTAAAAAGGGGGAAATCGGGGATTGAACATATTTACGGATATAAAATATTTTATTACGTAAGGCGACGAGGCCTCTTACAAAATTTTGACGGGATCCTCGTACCCCCTGCCAACCCTGTGTGCAAGCCTATGTTTTACGTTAACACAATTGATCAGAGGGTCAGTTCACAAGGATACCTACTATCATGAACAAGTACATAATGCAGCGGCATCGTATAGAAATGTTCTCAAAAGTATCAAGTATTTTCGTTTAGTCATATCTACTACAGAACATTTATAATTTGTTTACTACACATATTAAATTGAAAGTTATAATCCAACAACTTTGAAAAACACTGTGGGGAGCGAGGCTTTTATCTGATGGTGCTGTAAAGCTCTCGCATATTAGGCTTACTTCACGTGCATCCATGAAGGTTCCCTTAAACAATGCACCTAATCTTGACTCGCTCGCGTCAGGTTTCGTTTAAACATGCATGTTACACCCAAGAGCAATCACTCTTCGTTACTCCGGTCTCGTAAACGTATTTGATTACGACGTACGAAACAGCTACATAACCTGATCCATTTCATGAAAAAGGAACGAAATGATAACATTTCTCTCCTGAAGTCAATTCTTATCGGTCACACCTGCTACGCAACTTGAGCAAAGAATTCTAGGTTTTTCATCCCCCCCCCCCTGGGACGCTCATGGGACTAGATAGAGCTGAGACTAACTCGCAAAGCGAAGTGGAGACTTGACGACGGCTTTTCAGGTGCAGTGAAGTCCGCGAGTTGGGAAATGGTTTTCCCATTTACTTTTTGCTCATACATTCTGAAGTTTAAATTGTCGAGCTAATAGCAAAACATGATATGCTAATAACTAAATAATGATACGCTAATAATGCTAGCGTATCCATTATGTGTTTCATTCCACAGAATGTGGGATACAGCCTTTGCTTGTCGAAGAGTTGCAGTCATGCTTATCGAGAGTAAAAAGGATGTACCTATATGAATTGGATTACTAAGTACGTATAATCACATCGTAAAATATTAGAGTGGCAATGAGTAATATTTATAAATCAACATTACCTGTCCTTATGCAATCAAATGGTATGGTATATTGACCGATAAAGTCATCTCCAATGTAATCATCGTCCAAAATAACAAATCTAAGGAGAACCAATTCTGGAAGCATTAATTGAAATTCAAAACTTTCCTCAAATATTGGGCAATCTCCTTCGTTTGAAACGGTCCTTGTTTTTCTCTCTGAAATAAAAACAAAATAAGTGGGTAAATAAAAGATGCATTCACTAATGTTTTTACAATCTTTCGCTGGGATCAATAAAATAATTTTATATGAGTTTGTGTTCAATATGTAAGTTTATTAGAGCATCATATAAATTAACTAATCGCATTCATTAAACAGATGTAAAGCAAAATGATACATGATTTTTATTTTGTACCTTTTCACACTTTAATCTAATCTTTCTAACTTTAAAATTTCATAGATATGCAATTAATCGAAATTATTTTACATAACATAATAAATAATTTATTTTGATATGTAAATAGGCGTTTTTCAATAAAATCTAGTCTAAATGTGAAACTTAAAACATCGTGGTCTTCCTCAGGGCTGGTATGACCATACCAGAGGAAGACCACGACAGGATGGTCGAAACGTCAGCAACACAGCCGATGCGGCGTCACCCGGACAGTCCAGATCACGCACGTGACTCTGGCCGCGGAAGACGCGGCCCACGACTTCACTTAAAACATCGTGTTCGCTATAGTACGTATTCGCAATTTAAAAAGCAGCATTTTAAAATGGATTAAGATTAATAAGTTAATTTCGTTCGGAAGGATAATTATTTCCTTTCTAACATTCTAGTCTAACTTTTATGTTCAGTTTTCATTTTTAGCTAATTTTTAACAAAAGAAATGACCTATCATAAGTTTATGATAAAATACTAGAAACCAATGTAATGATCAACAAATATTATGAATCTGATTTCAAAAATATTTGATATAAACAGTAATATAGAAAATATTAATTTCATGAATTTGAATATTTTCTTTTGAGAGATTTTCATCAATTAGATTTCCAGAGAATTACGAAAATACGACAGTATAGTCTCACCTGCGCAGTCAGCGGGGATCCCATAAACTTGAATCAACACATACGGATCAATCACATCTCCTTTCGCTGTGGAACCTCGTGGCCGCGGAAGCTGCTGTCCACTTATGATCTGGTTTCAAACATATTCAGCTAGAGATAGTACAGTTATAATTGAAATGTTATCAACGACATGAAAATTAACTTGTAAGGCAAGAAGTGAGATGTCACTATCATGCCTAAAAATGACATTACAGTAATGTGAAATGTGATTTCAAGACTGTACATCTTGACACTTCGTTATCTTAAAAAAGTGTATACTAAATGTGAACTATTGATAATTTATTTCCAGAAAAGAATCTTAAAATGAACCCAATGGAAAATGTTACTATTTTAATACGTGTAAATTAATGTCGTCTGGAAAAAGCTAGTAAGTGTTGGTGAGATATGAACTTTTCAGGCAATATTGGTACCTTTTGAGAAATTGGCATGCGTGCTCTGAACCCAATGTTTTCGAAATTATCAGTTTAAATATTTTTTCTCATTTAGTTACATTTTGGAATTGGAGACAGAAGAAGAAAATTTGCTAAAGAATTTTAATTAATCACTGTAATGTTTTCATTGAACGTATAGATTAAATCAGTATCGTTATTTTTGTTGGTAATTTTTTATAACTACATTATAACGGATAAGTGTGACACGAGTTGTTTATTTGACTAGTTTGTGTGAATTAGAACATTCGTGCGTATTAACGATTTCATTTCTTGTACGTGGAATAAAACGGAAAGAACGGGATTTTTGAATATGTTGTATTTATTATATATTACTCATTTACACTGAACTCAAATAAATTATTTGATATTGCCTCACTACAATTAAAAAATAAGCTGCTAAATAAGATTAAAATGTTCATTAAATTGAAAACGGGTTATAAGATACTGTATTTTCCAGCGAAAATAATTTGGTTTGACATGTATTTCTGGAGCGAAATGCTATCTACACAATTACATTTTGATGTTTAAAAATGAAGTCTCACCATCCTGACAAGTCTTAATTTTTTAGGTGCCACAACATTATTATAACGAAGTACTAGTACTGCACTAAATTAAAAACAATGTATCATACCTTTATGTACAATATTTGTGGAGACATTCCGGGCACCATATCTCTTGCGTTGGCACTGAAGAAAGACATTTGATCGCGCATTATCAACGGTTTCAAAACATAACCACAGCCACCATTTTGTCGAAATCTTCCATCGTACAGATCCATCATTTGACCTGGTGTTTGAAAATTCAAAGCCACTGAAAGAGAAAAGTATTTTTGTTCGAATCACTGAAAATTGATATCAATATTAATGGTAAAACAAACAATAAATCAATAATAATAAGCCAGCCCCGTAACCCAGGCTCGCGCCTACGGCAGCCGTCATCTGGGCCGAGGAGGCTGCTAGTTCGAGTCCTGCTTAGGTATGGTTGTATTTGTAATTGTCCTTTCACCCCTCATCATCATCTTATCACTTCATAATTTATAATTCAAGGCTTAACAACCTTTTCTTACCAAGGGATGCAACCGAAAAGCTGATCCTCATAATGACACGTGAATCTGGCTCCAGGAGGAGAGAATACGACTAGGCCATGGAAGAGAATGTGCAGTAATGGCCTATACGCAAATAATAATAATAATAATAATAATAATAATAATAATAATAATAATAATAATAACAATAATAATAAAGCCGATCCGATAGCTGAGATCGCTAAGGCAGTAGCGTAGCGGCGGTCTCGAACCAAAGGATCGCGGATTTGAGTCCCGCCTCGGACATGGGCGCGTTTGTGAATGTATGCGTATGTCGTCCATTCATCCTTCATCCTTCATCATCATCATCATCATCATCATCATCATCATTCCATCTGCCTTCCTCCCAGGGCTAGCAACTCAGGGGAATAAAAATGGGATTCAGTATAATGCTCATCCCCCCCAAAAGGTGTCGCATACACTTGCCACAGGAGGCAAGGATGTTACTCAGCCTCGGTAAATGTACGTGTATGTCCGCGTGGTCCTCGATGGCCAATTCGCGACAAGAAAAACATAAAATTAAAAAAACAGTTTATCGTCAACAAACCGTACAGGGTGGATTGGGAGCCAAGTAAAGCTCTGATTAATATCAAAAGCAACCAAGTACATTACTTTGCACCAAACAGATAAATTAGATTTTAACCACTTTCGATGTCTTGCAATTAGAAGTCAATGGCGTATTCAAACAAAGATTTTAAAATAAATAAAGCAATTATGAAACTTAAATCAACTTATTAACTGATTTATAAACATAACAATTTTCAAAAAGGTATATGCTTATAATTGAATAAAAATTTTCGGAAAACATTTTCCAGAAAAAATGAACCGCGAAAATGAATAAACACTCCGAGAAATACCTTTTCTCATACAACTTGCTCTGTGCAATATCAATTCTGTATATGTATCCGGTGAGAGTTAAGTGGTACAAATATTTGAGATACCTCGGATGTGTCAAAGTGAATTTTGAAGAGTAATAAAGGTTTCACATATCCACATATCCAATTTTTGTTAAATGGATATTCCCTACCAGATATACCCCCATTAAGGTGTGTATCAATAATTATTAGTACCCCCAAAATTGTTTTGGGGATATGAGCCCCTTGCTGCCCAAGTGATATACCTCATATTTTTCGGGTTCCTAGATATGTAATGTTTTACTCGTGTTGTAGAAAATTCAGCAGGAGATGATTTTACTTATTTCTTACATAGGTATGTTTAAAAATATTTCTTTTAACTCATATTGACAATTATCATTAATTTTGTTCAGTTATGAAATTGATATAAAGGCGTACATGGAGATACACCGGTTGTGATATGAATAGGTACTTGAAGAGTATGAAAAAATGAAATTCAGTTACAACAGTGTATTTACATAATTTTGTTGCTTATCATCTTCTTCAACATTGTCATTTCGATATGCCCAATGTTTCCAACATCGGTCTGATATGTATTGTCATTTTGCCCTGTTGTAAATTTGGTATAAAGACCTAAATTACAGAACTTGTGATACGTAACGGTAGAGATTTAAAAATTAAATAAACTTATGTGACATGAGAGAATCTTGACAGTATTAATTATGTTTGTCCAAAAATAAATATGGCCTGGAAAAGTATACATGACAAATGTACTATTTTGGGAAAATATATTGGAATTCAGACTCATGAAACTTAAAAGATATCTTACCAAATTGGCAGCCGCAATTCCAAAAGTCTTGTGGATTAAAATTCGTCGAATCCACTCTACTACCATTAGGGAACACTCTGGTAAGGAACACTTTGTTATGATTGACGAAGTCTTCAGCATATCCATGCGCTAATCTGACAGCCGTTGATTCACTCAAAGAACACAGTTCTTGGGAAGTTTCTGAAAGCGAAGAAAAGGTATATTAATAGCTTCAAGTGCTATAGAAATATAAGCAAGGTTGGTAGATCAATTTTGAAATCATATAGAAACCACACTCACGTATTTGTTTTGATGTTTGAAAGTCAATAAAACGGCAACGAACTATGCTGACAATGTCAGATAGTTCTTTACATATTACTATCTTTTTATGTTTTTCTTTTCTTTTGTTTGTTTCTGTTCCTTCGTCTTCATCTGTTACTTCACCTTTATCTTCTTTCCAATCCAATGGAAGTTTCTTGCCCTTCAAAAATAAATGCAATTAATACCCAAACTTCTAATCATGAAGCATTAGTTATTGGAATATATTCGTACAATTTCAATATACACACCCAAAATACATTTTTAGACATTTGTGTCGTCGTTGACGCAACGCGTCTCTTAAACCCTTCTTGGGCGTTGAGCGCTTGCGTGGAGTAATTCTCCTTTACTTTCTTTGTGAAGATTCGTCACGTCGCAGTCAGTCAATGCATTTTACCCTTCGGCCAGGAGCTAACACAGATTCCGGGGTTCTTGGCCGGTCACCCAACCAGGAACCCGCGAGTCTCGAATTCGGTTAACCTTTGTGACTTCACGCAGCTGCTATCGAATTCGTCTAACGGCGCTAGGTTTAAGTTACCAATAAACTTCGTAAACGGTAATTTAGTCTAACAATTCTAATAACATTCTGAATTTCGAGGAACAAATAATATTAATGTAACATACTAATACGAACATAGTATGGGATTTGCTCTAATTAATTATGCGATTAATTTGTCGTCAAAAATTACGGAACAGCAAAATATGCGGGAGAAGTATAATCTGCGCATGTTTTCGTAAGGTTCAAAATCCCCACCCTCCTCTTTTTATCAAACTCTAAGAACTATACTGCTACAGCAGCTATCACTTCATTTGATAAAAGTTTCTGCACACCAAACCAAATTTTTAAGTCGGGGAAATGGAAAGAAGTCATTCAGGTCTAAATCCGTTAAGTATTCTGGATGAGGAAGCTATTGGAATACCCATTGGTGCATTTTAGTCAATGTGGTTGCTGATACGAGGGCTGGTACGTTTTCTTAATGGAACAGCGCTTTCTTGGCTGTTTTCAATCAATTCCTCCTCGATCCGATAATCTTGCCGCGTGTTTTAATAATAAAAATGATCCAATAATGAAACTTAATAGGGCTTAATTATGTTTCTGCTTTTTTTATAAACGAGGAGCGTTAATGCAAATAATATGTCACACAAATCAGATTTTTCAGAAGCGGTAAAAAACGTATTGTTGACAAGTTATCGCCTTTCCAAATAAGGTAATAAGCTGTACTGAGTATCAGTATTCTTACAGTAGTCTATGCATACTACTATCAAATCAGTTATTTATATTTATGACAATATTTCACGTTAAAATTTTGACATGTTTGCTTTTGCTTGCAAAATTTGATCGTGTCTGCTTTTGTCTGAAGCACCTGTGGACATGATTGCTGTTGCATAAAATAGGGCTATTATTTCAACATCACATTTGTTTGTTTTACTGCAGTTTGTATGCAATATATTTTATTTTTCCAAACAGATAAAACAACTACAATGATTTCTGTAGCTAATGTTACTATTTTTGGCCTCTAAAGAAATTACAAAGAACTTAAAAGAAATTAAAATCTATATATTTCAGCCATGATCATCTTCTGAACAGTCAAATTATCTTTCAGTTCTTCGCTGTCCATTACAGTTTGATTTTCAGCAATTGGTCTATCAAGAACAAAGGAATGTCATTCTATGGCAGAAGTATATGAAGAATTCTTTCCATTGACCTCTTAAAAGTTCAGTCAATAGACCTTCTACATCAGATCTCTTTGCCACTAGTGTACTCCTTTTCAGTGATCCCGGCTGAAGGCTAAATTGTACCATATTTGTTAGTGAAAAACCGCATTTCCAAAGAGTCAAAGTAAGAACTTAATCAAATCTAAAGTATTTTAGTGGAATAACTTTGACTGTATGGATTGTCTTCCCTATTATTGTTTTTTGAATAATGATTCGCTTCACATTTATGATGTTCTGTACGTTCTTGCACACGCGAGTAAAACTTTACGCTACTAAACGCTGCTTTCCGTGTCCCACTCCTATAATAAATAAAATAGGACGCTGATGGGAAGACTTCACAGTCGGAATGTATCACGTGGCATTAGCAGTCCCGTGATCGCAAATCTTGGCGTCTTATTGGTTACAAGGAAAGGTCCGTTTTGCTTGCAGCAACGCTGTGGACATAATGGATTTTGCATGAAGCTCATATGTTTACAAGAAAAATTATTTTGGATATATTTGCTTTCGCTCCTCCATATTAGGGCAGAAAAGGCAACTGTCGTTAGTATTATTGCAATGCTAACTCAATTAGTTTTTTTCTGATGGTCATATTTGTTCTTGCATGAACGCTCCTCAAATGATATATATGGATTATACCCAGAGAATATCACAGTGACTATCACCTTTCCTACCCACAAAACTGTTTTTGCATTCTTTGGTGCACTTTCAACAGCTTTTGACCGGTGTTTTGAATCATTTGTGGGTTCAAGAGTGTAGTGATGGATCCAAGTTTCATCCACGGTTACGAATCATTGTCTTAAGTCCTGCTGATTTTGCCTCAACATTGCTAGAGTCTGCTTTGAAATGCTCTTCCGAGTCAGTTTTTGGTCCAAATTTAGCAATCGCGGAACATCTCGCACACACCTTTATCATGATCAATTTCTCGTGAAAGATGAAGTGCACTCGCTCATTTAAGATGACAACAGTAACAGCTATGTCATGCTCTTTGACACTGCGATCTTCCATTACCAGGTCGCGAACGTTTTCGATGTGTTTCGGTGTAGTGACCACATCTGCCCGGCCCGAGTGATCTTCAACGTGTGTGTTTCAGCGAACTCGTTTTAACTCATTAATCCACATGTAAATTGTCTTCAATGCTGGTGAAGAGTCTAAATGAACTTCACCTAATTCGATTTTGATCTGGGCTGCAGCCCAAACCTTCAAATAAAAATGTTTAATCATTGCACGAGACTATGTTTTTCTCTGTCTCCGGCAACGCACGTCAATTTACACATCCGCCTGGTTGCCAACAAATAACTACGCGTCGCATTTGTTTGAAAATTCAAACAATTGTCTAACAAGAAAAACTATTGCCGATGTTCAAAAACAATTAGCACTCTTTCACAGAAATTTACCAGACTTATCAAACAACCTAGGTTAATTGTTGAATTGTGAATAATAGTGACACTGAGTGGTTAGCAACATTTAAGAGTGGAAATGTGTCGCTTGTGTGTAATAGAAAACATCGACAAACGAAGTACAGATTTGATTCTTAAATATTATTGACGAAATAACTACCCAACTCACTGTCCCACTCCTCCCGCAACTAGCAAGAAGAAAAGTAAATAGTAGTGTGAAAATTATGAAAGTATATTAACGTCCACATTTGCGACCATTGATAACTCATGAAAAATTCAATTTATGAAATTTTATCCGTTATACAAAGAAACCATATTTAAATTTGAGGACGTTTAGAAAATTATATCTAAGTCTAAATAAATATATCCGTAGACCTATGGAATACAAAAGAACACCACTTTGTTAAAGACGTGATGGTTCAATAACAAACAATTCTTCACAAACAATTCGCGTTTCCAGATCGAATCTTGCAAAAGCGTCAATTTCTCATTTTCACTCATTCCCTTAATTTAAATAGTACTATAAGTATGTCTACACAAAAAAAACACGGCAATTTATCAAATCGTAGTTAACAAAACCACCACTAAATATGAAATTGCAAAGAAATAATTAGGACGCGGAAATCACGATACACAAATTATTTCAGTTTGCAGTAACTTAACATGACATTTTAAATAATGCTCGTACATGTAGATCATTGATATATATATATATATATATATATATATATATATATATATATATATATATATATTATAATTTGACTTATGTAATTATTGACTAATTATATACAATAAAATTATATATACAGGTTGCCCCAAACTATGGACTACCCCATAACTTCTAAACGGTTCAGGATATCGAAATGCAGTTTTCTCTGAACAATGCGGAATCAAGGGGCAAGTAATGCAGTGCTGAGAATGTCTATAATATTTTCAGTTCTAGAGATATTGAATATTTGATTTTTAAACGGAACTATATACTTTTCTCTCCAGTAGTAGATAGTTCGCGAAAAGAGGAATAAAATGATGTATCGTATGTTAGTATTTTAATCGTAATTTAAGTACAAAATTAGGCTATCTGGCATGAGATTTTGAATTAAACCGACATTTCGTGTAGTAGTGGCAGATTATTGGTGGAACACCTGTATACACAGTGCAGTCACATTAATGTGACTACCGCTTTTGTTCGACGTAAACGTGCCCACGCGTAGAAAAAACGTGAGAGTCCCCTCCAGTGAACGAACTATTTTGTTGAATAATGCGTACGAACTGTTACTAGTCAAAATCACGAACACCAAATTCATGAGGGAAAGCGCGTGAACGGGTGCAAATTTGAGGAAGATCTGGTGGACCCATGAAGCAGGACGATCGGCTGGAGCAGAACGAAGATTCGGAGCAGCGTGTGGGGAGTGTTACAGAAAAGGGCTTGGGGAGGCGTAGTGCGCCTGCTTGGCAGCCAACTGTGCGCTTTTGGTGGCGCGAGCTGCGAGCGAATCGACCTTCGCTGGGAGAGGAGAGGTGACCGCCGACCTCAGCAGAACGTTAAGAATTTTTGAATGGGTTTTTGAGCGTCGAGTGAAAACGCTAGGAAAGTGTTAGTTCGGAATCTTATGGAGAAACAATATTTCAGAATATTGAACACCAAATGCATGTAATTGAACAAATCTTCATTTTTTCTAACTAGATTGTTAATAGAGAAATAATTAACAGATGATTGATGACTGTGTAACTATCAAATTAAAAATTTGTAAATATTAGAATAACTTATTTTTGGAGGGGAAATTATGTAAATCTAGAGTAACTGTGGAAGGGGATGTAACTTAATTTTGAGCTAATGTGTCGGCAATGCATAATTGGAGAGCCCGTTTAATGAAGGTCGAGTGTTAAAATATTGCCTGTTATATTGGATGGGATATGGGATCCGTTAGAAAAGATAACAACAAAATTAATAGCCAAAGAGTAAAGGAGTGATAGAATTGAAAACAATTTTTGGTTGAAGCTAAACTAAAGCAAGTAATTATTTGGCAAGAGAAATCAATGATCAATCGAAGTGTGATTTGGTTTACGATTAACGAAGAAATTGTGTTTATTTTGTTTGAGGATCCCAAGTTATTTGAAATATGAGTTACATATTTTTACATGTTCTCGTGTTCCCAAACACTTCATTCATTAAAAAAATGTATGTTGCGAAGTACGAAGTACTGTCGCTATATATATTTATACATATTTATATATAGCGACGGTACTTCGTACTTCGCAACATACATTTTTTTAATGAATGAATGTATGTGAAATGAAGTAAATGAAATATATATATATATATATATATATATATATATATATATATATACATATATATATATATATACATATTTTGGAAACACACTTCATAATTTTTGTTAATGATGTTTTCCGCAAATGAAGTAACCTGTGGCCAGCTGCAAGAAAAAATCTGTAGAGTTCAAATAAATAATTCTAATATTCTCGATGCATTCATCCGACAGATTGATTAATTGAAAGATCAGATGAGGTGTGAGTGATTAATTGAAAGATGTTAGATCAGAGCAGGTGACAGTGTTCCACACAACGCGAGGTTCGACGACGACCTATGCTGGAAATTCCTTCTCCAAGTATCTCCCCAGCAGGAGGCTTGCGGTGCTTGCACCTGAGTAATAGTTAAGTGCACGCAAGTGAAAATGTACTTGAGTAAAGGGAGATGATAGATCAAGGAAGAGGAAAGAAAGTTCGCGAGCGGTTCTTGGCCTGGTAGTGAACGAATTGCCTCGGAATTCGTCTTATTTTGATTGAAGAAAGTACGGAAAACAATAGATCAGAAGAGTTGGCTGCTAGAATTCTCCTTAAGACAGCGGCTGAATTCTACATAGCCTACATGCCGAAAATTTGACAGAGTTTTGACTCGAACCCTAGGACCTACTGTCAGAGTTGTTGCAGTGTCAACGGCAATGTATTTATCTCAGTTGGTTACTGCTACTACATTCTAGTGATACTAATTGGAGAAACCATGAAAAACTACATCAAATCAGCTCGCCGCTATAATTCTCCTCCTTACAGTGCGCGGCTGAATTATACCCAGATACGTAGAGAGTGTCGAAAATCCTCCATCGTCGAGAATCAAACCCTAAGTTTTCCGAGAGGGTGGTTGCAGTGGCAATAGTTCTGGCCTTGAGCTAACTCTGCTAGTCCCATCATTCGAAAAAAACTTCGTTTATCCCTTCCACAACCGTGTGGTTTCCTTGGAATAATCAAATAATGAGTTACTATATGAATCCTCGTTAACATATGAAAAAAGTACAGAATATATCATGGACAGGTAGGCCGATACGAAAATAGCTCCCACGCATCGACAGCAGTACTGCGCGCATGGCTTGGAATTTTAGAAATTCCAAATTATATTGTTTCCATTTTAGACCTTCTCTACCCATTTTTTAATAGTTTAAAATGGCACCCTTTCACAGTAACATTAGAAAACCCTTTACTTTTTTGGAGTTTTTGAATTTCTCATGAATGACAAAATGATTATTGACGTAATTTTATAGGAAAAAGTCTGTCTTTTAACTAGTTTTATACACCCTGATTGCTTCGGAGTAGTGGCTAGTGTTCGCTAAATTCATAGTGTTATTATATTTTAACTCAGACGTATTCCAAAAATGAGTTTCGAAATAATCGGGTACCAATATTACTATAAAAAAGAGAATGAAGTTCGTCAAATTATCTGGAAAGCGATTTTATTATTTTAAAACTATTTTATCTCTATTTTAATGGTGCCATTTTTTAGACAGCTGTGAATGACTAATTCTACATTAAGTAAATTTCAAAAATGCACATCATATTTTACGCTAATTTTCTTTACATGACCCTACTTTCCTCTATTTTCTTAATACATATCATTTCATCTAAGGTTTTTACCAAACACTCACAATCAATGAGAGATCTCTTTCAATCTTGGCGTATATAATGTACACTCTTTATAAGAATATTTCATAGTACTGAACATTAAGTGTTCAAAGCGTTCTTTCGATATAAATACAGTAATTTTTATGTAGGAAAATTCTTAATTATGTTCGCTTACAATCATTCATGAGAAAAGCATTGCCAACATTTGGAATATTATTTTAACTAAAGAAATATGACTCAAGAAATTACGTAATTTAAAGCAGAATTGATTTCAGGTCTTTAAATTTTTCTATTTTTCAATTTTCAAGTTGGTTTCTTTATCGTTCTATCATCCACAAGCTGTAGTCATCATGTACTTCACTGAGAGGAAACTCTTTGAAAGAACGTTTTATGGCATCCATTACCAACACGCACTGCTTCACAATCTATGAAAGATAAATCATTGTGTATCACGCAAAACTTGCAGAACTATAAAATCGGTACGGATTATTGGTAAGTAATATAAAGGTCATCAATGGATGTTGAGAGAAATGCAAGACGCAGACATTCATTTTGCAAACTAGCGTACATTATAGGAACTTAATAATCAAATGTCCTACGAAACATGTTTTTTTGGAAACGAAAACTTCACATATACGCAAAGACAAAACTAATTAGTTTCTAAATTGTATAGGATTCAAAATCGAATAGGTGCGACCTTAAGGACTGGTGATTTTAAAGTACCATCAAGGTGTGAACATGAATTCATGGATAAGGAAATAATTTTTGTCAAATACATTATGTAAATTTAATGATGGATGTGATAAATTGAGAAGATAAAAATTCCAAGGCTCCTTTTATGAAATTCATTAAGAAATGCGAATATTGGCGATCAGACGAATAAAAATGTATTATTTTTTTCACCTAATTCACCGATGTCCCAAAGGTCGCAACGGCTCGTGAAAATAGATAAAACGTACCATAATGAGGATTTTGTTTCTTAAATCATTGGGGCTCATTTGCCCTACTTCAACTTGACTGTCACCTCGATGTATATACAGCAAGCCCCTTAGAGTGATCCTCAGAATATTTGCCACCACCTTCTGTTGATCTACACTGCAGTGATTTTCCAGATGAATAACTAGAGGAAAGCTGAGGAGTGAAAAAATATAATCCACTAAATCATTCTCTTCAGTATTAGAAGCAAGAATATGAAAAAAATAATCATTACATCATTACAATCAGAATATGAAACTACAATAATTCTAATGGTGAGTCTCATACAAACAGTTGCAAACGGTGAAAATAGTGTAACGATTTTTTCTTGACAATTAAGAAGGGAGAAAACTATTTCAGGGTTTACTTTTTCGTACGTCTAGATGTTCAACGCAATGCACTACAAAACGGGCAATGGCAATTTATAGTGACAATAAGGGTCAGCGATTATGATCTTCATCACTACTATGTATTATTTCTGAATAAGTTGAAAAAATGGGTATCAGTTTTCATAAGTATGAACTAGCACATGCAGACTCATTTTCTCTTTAAAATACAAGTAGTTCACATGAAAACACTATTTTCATGAAGATGATCTGTATCTACTCACATTATAATAGTAAATGCAAAAACTAAGGGTCAAACTAAAATCCTTACGTCATTTTTTCTACCAGATATTAATGGAAAATTTATTTCCAAAACTTACGGAGAATACACAAATGCAAACTCTCGGATGACTTCAATGCAGTCTCTGAAGGGAACCTTGGAGGTAAGCGTATTTCCATGATAGACAAACGGCTCGTGTATGCCATCCCAGCAGTCAACTAAAGAACAGGAAGCAAAGACAAGTAGATTTGAGCGAGTACCACAGTAGAACAATTATCAATACATGTTATTTACACATGCATACATTTGTATACATATGGGTCTACCAATGCACTGCAGTAATCATGATATCGCAGTCAAGGTGCACATACGTCAATGTGTTCGTTCACCACATGTGTTATAGGACGTATTTACAACACAAAATTAACTTCTCTGGAACAAGTTCTCTCAACATTTTACTCATTCATTTTGTTTCCAAATCAAGGAAATCCAATGTTTCTGATTAGTTTTTGCGGTAAAGGCACTGATTTTTTGTTCTTTGGTTTCTTTCGCATTTTGTGGCCCACGATTGCTCCAGACAACCGACAAATTTTGTCTGCCCTCTAAAAGGCTCGAGAAAGTCTATCTACACTAGAAAAGACATGCTATAACCGCCGAAGACAGAAAAAATTACTTTATTTTTTGAAAAGAATGGTTTCTCTAATACATTGCTACACGACTATGAATCATACATTTTGGCTATAGCACAGAATACCGCATATCAATGTTAAAAGGACCGTAAGTGTTTATATGCAGTAGAGTTTCACCACACTCTTTATCCGTAAGATCTAATTTTGCATTCAAAACAGGAGACAACTCAAATATTTTTTAGATGTATTGCACAAGTGTTTAAAACAAGATTCGGCCGATATTAAAATTTTTCGTCATTTGGAACTAAAGTTTTAAATTCATTTTCTAGAGATACAAAATGGTTACTAGCTGCCCAAAGCAAACTGTGGCCCAACTATCTAAAAAAACTTAAAAAAAAAACAACGAAGAAACCTTGACTGAAAATAGAAATCAGGACATTTTTATTAGCGAACTTCTGCCATTTGAAATGAAAAAGTAACTAGCCACAAGTAGAATTATGTCATAAATTCGCTCAGATTAGTAAATATGTCCATCCGAAGGAAGATTATAAAAGAATGGATAATTTAATTTGAAAAGTGTAAGTATCAACAAATGATTTTATTTTGAAACAGATTTTTCTTGCATGATTATGATTACCTTGGGACAAAGTATCAGACAATTTGTGCCAATTCAGTTAGACTAAGATTGGAACATTCACCAGGCCCAGCTCTCCTGGAGGTGAAAATCTATGAGCTACTCCCACCTTGAAAGTGGGAAGCCTTGCCTAACTATGGGCTGATTATGGTAATGAGCTGATTTAATTTCATTTAAAAATCAGATTAAATGTATTTCCCTCTTTCAGATTTTATAAACCTCCAGTTCAACGGGTAAATGCGATATTTACGAAAGTTAAACAGCTTGATTTCTGAAAACAGACGAGATAAATTTGGTAGAGTGGTGAATGAACTCATTAACATTTAACATGCAGGATTGCCAATAAATATGCACCTTAACCATTTCATGCATAAACCATAACATACGTGTAGTATGAATGCACGTAGGACATGAGATAGGACTGTAGAAAATTCGGAAAAGACAATGAATGTAAACAATTAACATTAATATAAAAAAATCCTGAATTTAATTATGTTGAAAACTGCTACATTGATTTTTGAGGTACATCACCAGAGATAAAAATATCGTGACCATAATCGAACCTTTACTTAGCATGTTTTGTATTTCCTAAGTAAAGATGCAAACAAACTTGCTTTAGTATCGTGTAACTTTGTAGCGAAGTTACGACACACTACTTCAACTTACTGAACCCTGGACAAATGAGAAATAGACGTACGAACTTTTTTACAAAATCGCTATATTAAGATCCATCTCAACCATATGAAATCACACTGAGGTAAAATTTTTGTAACAACGATCTTTGAAGTTTTTATTCTACCTCCATTGGAGCACTTATTGGGCTTAGCAGTCAATTCAATGATTCATATGGTTTTAATATAGATGTATAGTAAAAAAGTAACTCTGTGGAGGGAGGCAATATTGTAATGTGGGGAAAAGTCAGTAGTGTGTAATTATATATATATATATATATATATATATATATATATATATATATATATATATACATATACATATATATATGGGTTGCAAAAGAGTTGTAAATGTTGCAGAAATATTGCATTTAATTGGTGTTAGTACCGTATAAATTGCATTATATTCCATCCATTATGGTAATATCTAAGAAGAATGGGCATTTCTTATTGTCAACTATTTTTATACATGTTCGTTTCTTCTAAATTTGACTTTTTCTGAGAGTAGCGAGATAATAAGAAGAGTTCAATGTACATGTTTTATAGATATTCAACGGAGACACTGAGAGCAACAGAGCGAGTTATTAAAAAAATATAAACTTTGAAGAACAGGAGATTCATAATCACCTTTTTATATATGCATCACCGTTTGAATCGGTTCATAAAAATCACCGAAACGCGATGTCGATTAGAACCAGTTAAAGAGAGAATGTTTCTCGCGAAACTGGTGTAGTCTACGATGGGCCATTCAGAGAAGATTTTTTTGTTAATATGATTTTAGCAGATTTGGAAGATGAGATCGTTGACGATATGCCTATGTTTCAAAATTAGAAAGAAAGAAACAAAATGTGTAAACACTACAATAATATTTTAGCAAGTAATGTTTCAATAAGTTTAGACCAACCACTATTGAATTTCAGATATTTACGAACTTTTAGATGAATCAGAAAACTTCTTATTGAATGAGACTTATGAACGAGATCTAGCCTTCTCCACAATTCCTACGCACATTCTATTTTCGATCTACCAAAATGCTTTCACGTATCCTTGCGCTACCATGCTCTGGTAGAATATTATGGATGCAATCAAGCAAATACTATGTTTTCTTCACTTTCCTATTATTTCGCTGGTCAGTCTCAGAGTTAAAATGCAGAACTATTGTTTCTAATAAAGAGTAGTCTGACTTGTGGCGGTGCAAGAAAAGAACACACCCAAGAATATACAGAAGTACTATCATGAAGATATTTTTCTGTATAACTTGGCAATTTTTTAGGGACGTAAATGGATAAGAATGATTGAAAATATTAGAATATGCTAGTTAATATTTGCAAGGAAATTCATTCGAATATGCACTAACATGCAACGCAAAAAGTTTCCATGCAAAAAATGCTTGAAGTGTGATAAACAGATGACAATTTCATTTCAATTGGTAAGTGCAAGAATCCATGCTCGAAAATTCATAGATATGTTGCAACACATTGAAGACTGTTAGTCACTCTGATTAAAGGTGAAAACATTTTGCGTGGTTTTAATTTTCTTTAAAGAATAATTGGCATATAATAAAGAAAAGCGTGAGAAGTTCAAAAATGAAGTAAAGCCCTGAAAAATGAAGTGATAAAGAGCCTTTTTGAAGATCTGGGAAACTCACGGAGCTCTATGCCTCTGTGCCACCGATCCTAGCAGGGACGTGAAGAAGGAAGAAGGGCTGTACAAATAAAAGTAAAGAAATTGTGTGTAAGCAGTTTGCTTTGATTGTTTGTTTATAAGATGCTAACTAAATATTTTATTTTAATGGCAACTACCTTACACTTTTATTTTATTAAAATGTGTTCTGCGACAGTAGGGGGTGTTATTGTGCGAAAAAAAATCATTCGAATAAAATGAAATTTATTGGAATATTGCGATTCTTTTGCATTTGCTACATTTATTTGTATTTCATTTTTATTGCTAAGTTTAAATTACATATATTAACATGTTTGATAATTTGGGAACAAATATTTTATTGATGCAGTACATACATCAAGATTTACACTTGATAAAGCATTACTTTAACACTTTTGATATGCTTTTGTGTTGAAAGAAAAACCTTTTATTTCTGTGCACGTCTTGAGGTATGTGGAGCTTGCCTCACTAACGCCTTCATCCGTGGGCATAGCGCCTTCATCCGTAAGAGCTGCAAAAGTGCAGGAAGTTGGGGGAAGGCAACTTTGCGGGGAGGAGAGCAACCTCTCGTTGCTCTGTGGGGACGACGTGGCGCGTAGATAGAATGCCTGGCCGTCTAATACCTTCCTTTATTTTACGTTTCGAATTTCTCTAAATCCTGTTTTGTGACAAAAATGTTTCTACTTACATAATGAAAGCATTCTCTCACATCAAGATTGAACAATACAAGTAAAATATAGGCAATTTAAAAAAGGGTAAAGTTTGGCAGCACTTATATTTGCGATCATTTTTTCCCATTATGAATCCGAATACGAGATACCAACGAGCAAACACCTCTGACGATATATTAAGGCAATCATGATATTACTGTGGGTCTTTCTAAATAGAATGCGAAGAGCGTATTCTTGTTTATATGATGTCGTAAATGACTATGAGTAAATAGTGTTCGTTTATTTGATATCAGAAATATATAATGTCAGAAATTAGAGCAAAAAGTAATCATGACATTTTAAGACAAATACTTTTTGCTTTGATAGAAATGTCTTATTCAATTTAACGTAGTTAAAGAGTTTATTGCTATTAAACGGAAAACATTCAATATTAAAATATTTTGTTTAACACCACACTAAATTTGTGATTTCATCGTAGCAAAGCGAATTACACTACCAACATTCAAAGCAGTTATAATGCTTGGTGTACAAATCAAATACGTATGTCAAATTAATTTTAGACTCATATTTCAGATTATCATCTATCGAAAATAAGCATTTCTAATGTAATATAAAAGGCAAAATTACTTGAACTATATTTCATCATCTGATTGCTCTTTCAATTGTTTACGGTATGCTACGGTGCTACGGTATGAACTGCACATTCTCATTGGAGGTCCCAATTTCAGAATTTGTCTCATCCCCCCCCCCCTTCTTCACTGCCTGCATTTGCACTCGAGTGGCTCGCGCACGGCTCCCGAGGTGAAAGTGCAAAATGCTACGCAGGCCTGCCCTAGGCCAATTGCACAGCTAAGAGACGAGACGGGGCTGCTAAATTAATCAATTAAGGAATCATATTTTTAAGGGCTGTAAGACAGAAGAAAAACCTAAGAACTAATCTTGATATCACGC